GTATCATTTGGGTGCTGCACAAAGTCACAAAAAATTTTATCCAATCAGATACCCAGAATCTGGTAAACCGTACTCTACGTGCTTCGTACTCTGTTCCTGGTAAATTTTTTACCGTTAAATTAGAACTTGAAATTCTTTATATTAGATTGGAAATACTTTAATAACACAAAAATTGTTCAAGCAAAACCTTTTTGTTAGTGTACAGAAGACAGTTTAAAAGTTAAATATTGAGTTATGAAGGATTTTGGATGGTTATAATTTTTTGTATATCTGATCTTGAAATTTGGAGGTTAGAGAAATTTTAGGGCAATAGTACTAGGCTGAGAGATTTACTAATTTCCCCCACCACTTCTGATTAGACAGATGAAAATTTTATCTCTGAGATTAAAAATGTAGTCATCGTATAAGCGGCATGTTAAATAATTTTTTAGCGCCCGAATAAATTAATAAAATTTTTTGCGCTCAAATAAATTAATAAAATTTATTGCGAATGTCATTTTCATATTATTGAAATTTTTTGCGAATATTGTTTGTTAAAAATTTTCAAATAAACTTTAACCATTAAATATCTTTTGCCATTTTATTAATTGTGGTTTAAAGTAATTAAGTAAAATAAACCATACCATAGGATTATTATCAATTTTATTTTAACATGTCTATTCCATTTAAAATTGATGATATTTTCGACATTGACGAAGATATTGATATGGATATTAGCGACGGAGAGTCTGATATTGATAATATGCTTGCCTCTATTCTAGATGCGTCTGATGGCACTAGTCAAGCATGGGAGGTTGTAAGTGATGATACAGAAGAAGAATCAGGTAGAGAAAAAGTAAAAACTTATCATTTTCTAGTGAACGAATATGTTGAATAGATCAATAACCTTGAAAAGTCAGGCCTTAGTTATAATCGACATGATTGTCGAATTAAAAGAGGTGCAAAAAAAACAAATGAATGGACTGAAAGGTGGAATTGTTATCGTTACGGGGTGTATAAGAGTGTTGCTGAAAAAGATACAAATAAAAAACCATGCTTAATCCAAAAAGAATTCAAAAAATGTAGATGTAAAAACTATATTTTCATCATACTTCCTATTAATTCGTCAACTGTAGTTTTAAAATATTACTACAAACACCGGAACCATTATCCTGGTTGACTTTCGGACCTATACACACTTCCTCTTTCGGAAAATATTTGTCAGTTTGTTCAACAACGTGCTCTTGAGGGTCTTGACACTTTTAGTATTCATAAGCTTATGCGGTTCTGGGCAATAAAGTTACAAAATTAGGTTTTTTTTTTATTTTATTATTTGAGCTTATGCTATATTGTATTCTCAAATAGTGCCATTCTCCAAAAATTTTCATTTTTATTTTTATACATTGGCAGATTTGCAGAATTGGGTTTATATTTATAAGTATATAAAAATAAAGAGGCAATTAACAATAATAATAATTTTGCATCATTATTGGTAATCGTCTCTTAAATTATTTTTATATACATACATATATAAACTAATATTAAATTAAATAAAAAATGCATTTTTAAACTTATCGCTATATAAATCTAATTCCATAAATCTGCTGATATGTTTATTAATTTTACTTATTTAATTTATCTATAATTTATTTATTTAATTTATCTATAATTTATTTATTTATTTTATAATAATTTATTTATTTATTTATAATTTAATTTTTTTTTACTAACTTTATTTAACTTTTTATTAAGTTATTTGATTTTTTATTTAAATTAATATTTTTAGATTTTTTCGCTTAATTCTGAAGATCATTCGCATTCATGGGATATACAGACATTACGGGATGGGCTAATAACACGCGACGATATTTTTGCAATCATTTATAATACAATGAAAACATCTGCATACTTTGATAAAGATGAGTTCTGCTCTTTGGGGATGTGGCAAAATAGGATCATTAGCAAGAATGGGGTTTGTATATTCAAAAAATATAATGAAATGGATGATATCGGATTCATGTTCATGTTTCAAACCAAAGAGCAGAAACAATTAATGGAATTTGCAAGGGTAGTGTGTTTAGATGGAACATATGGAACAAATAGTCACGGGTATTATTTATTTACACTTGTTATACGGCATCCAGTCGTAGGAAGTGGATACCCAGTCGCATTCTTAATAAGTGAGTTTAAACGAACATCAACATTAAAAGAATGGTTTAATTTTTTAAAGTGTGAGAATGAAAGATGGAGACCAGATATTTTTATAGTCGATGATGCTGGAGAAGAAATTAAATCATCCCAAGACTGTTTTCCTGATAGTTCTGTATTTTTGTGCCATTTTCATGTGCTACGGTCTTGGTGTAGAAAACTGTGCCATAAACGTGGCACAAATATTGATTTACAAAAAGAAGTTGTTTGGGATGATCTTTGGCGATGGAGTGATTGCGAAGCTCAAACACAGATAGTGAGTGCAATTAATCGATGGAAAGAAACAGGTAATGAGGTAATAAATAATTTTGCAGATTACTTCGCACGTTGGTGGAAGCTGAAGTATGAAATGTGGATGGTTTGTATGAGAGGAGTCACTAGAGATATGATGGACACGAATAATTTAATTGAATCATTCCATCATAAACTCAAGTATACTTATATGAGAAGCCGACCAGGTATTGATTAGTTTAATAAATGCTTTATGACTTATATTATTTAAGCGCTGCAGAGCGAAAAACTGGAAGTGAATATTTAAGTTTTCATTATGGCGAGTTTAACCTATATAGTCTTGTGAATTCTGATGTTACGTCCTAATTATTTAGTAAAATTTCATACGAATGTATTGTTATTGTTGCTGAACTATTAACCCATTGTTAATCAGTAAGTGTAAAATTGCCATGATAAGAACTTAAATATTCAATTTCAGCTTTTTGCTTTGCAGCACTCGTTTATTATAATTGTACACGGAAAGTATGATAGATGGTATTAATTTTGTAATTTAAAATTCGTGTTAACCATAATTTTTATAAACGAAAATCAAACCCTTGCATATAGCTATAGTAAGTATGGATTTAGGATTGGGTGAGATATAGTTCGTTTATACCAAAATTTTGCCAAGAATTTTTTTTATTAGAAACCAAAAGGTGGTTTCATAATTGAAATTTTGAGATATTGGCTGGTTTTGATATCACCTGAGTATATACACCCCATGTACAAATAGTAATTGTCTTATGTATTTATTTATTTTTATTATATTTATTTTATTTTATTTTTGACATATTATTTATTTTATTTTGTTTTGTTTTATCTTATTTTATTTTTTTTTTAACTAACTTCGATTCTATCCTAATAGGTCGACGACTTGATGGCGAAGTTCATCTTCTTGTAGAAGTTGTACTTCGTGACATGAATTTTGCAGTCTTTCAGAGTGAATTAAAAATTGGCAGGATGAATCAACGACAGCGTCAGCAACGTATTCGGGAAATTGCAGGGTCTATACGTATTAACAGCCATAATATTTATAAAATTCAACCTGATCTATGGATAATACGTTCTTTAACCAATGATGATATAGAGTATTCGGTCAGAAAAAAAGATATCATAAGTGATGAAAATAGTCTTGATAATGCCTCCTATATTTGTAATTGTCATGATTTTCAATCACGACAATTACCATGCAAACATGTGTTTGCTGTATTAGCGCGAGACTATGTACATGAAGATATAGAAGATGATCAACTACTACTACTACCTATGGAATCAGATTTTTCTGATTCTAACAACCTTTTCACGGATCAAAGAACTGATAAAAATTTTCAATTTGCAAAATTGCAAGAAGAACTTAATGCAATTTCTGCAGAATGGAAAGGTAAGGAGGGAGAGGATATCTATAATCTACGAATCACAATCCAGCAAGTTACTCAAATAGAACGGGCAAGAATTGCAAGAGTAGAATCTGTTCCTTATGCTACCAATAATGATAACAATGAGTCAAGAATTCCTCATCTAGCACCAAATGCAAAAATTACAAAACAAAGTAATTACTAAGTATTAATTCTTTTTTTTTTTTTTTTGTACACATATGCTTAAGACTTTTAGCTGGCAGCACTTTTCTCGCAGTGTATATTTAAACTAACGAACTAGAAATTTTTGTTTAAAGCAAAAAAAAAAAAATAAATCCCCAAATATTTAGTATTTTTATTGCGCAAAATAGCAGTTTTCTTATTATGTTAGTAAACTTTTTTAGTACCAACGGACAATCTTGTAAAAAATAAGTTCAAAGTTACATTTTCCAACGAATTAAAATATAAATAAAAAAACTTAAAGCACAATAATTGAATTATATTTTAAAATTTTTAACGCTATAAAAATTTCATGTGGATTCGATAAAATTCTATTTTCGTGAAGGTAATTTGGCAATTAACCATTATTATTATTATTATTATTTTGTGTCGACGTCTTAAGGTGGCATGAATTGTTTCGTCCAATCAGTAGCAATATTTAAAGCATCCAATCAGAAGTGGTGGGGGAAATTAGAGCTCCCCTAGGCTGAGACGCTAATACGAATATTATTTCTACAAATCTTGTTGAATTTTATAACTAATCACAGCATAGTTAATTTAGTTTGAATTATAAAAGATAACTCGCTTGTCAAGATAAATATCATGCCTTTTAAGATTTTCTTTTGCGATTTCAAAGGATAAGAACTAAGAATAATAGAAAAAAAACTTGATAAAAATTAGAAAATGTGAAATAATAACAATAAAGCCGAAAAATACAAGATTGATAACGATAATGAAATTTTGCACATTATAGAAAAACGATTTTTTGTTATATTATTTAATAAACCATGTATATTTATATAACAACAACTATCGTAATAATGAATATGAAACTTATATAGAATTATGATAACTTTATGATTTTCATATTCAGCAGCTCATCCAAGATGTTTTGCATTTTAACATAATGAAATATTTAATTTTTTGTTTTTTGAAATTACAACTAAAAACATTTAATTTATAATGTAATTAATCTACCCATTTAAAGAATTGGCATTTACCTTCTGGATCATTAGCGCACATATAATAATACCTCCCATGGTTCATGGTTCGTTGTTTAACCATAATTCTAGCAGCAATAAGATTACAATCACAACAAATATAATCATTATCATCATATTCATCCCCCCATAAAAAGAACTCGCATTGACATCTTGGACTTTTAGCGCAACAATAAAAATACCTCCCATAATTTTCATTTTGTTTTTTAACTCTAAACCTAGCTGCAAGAATATTACAATCACAATAAATATCATTTTGATAAATATCATTGGTATCTTCATTGGTATCTTCATTAATATCTTCATCATTAATATGATTAATGCCATTGATATTGTTATTAATGTCTTTAAAAATATCGATATCTTCATTATGATTAATATCTTCTTCATTAATATGATTAATGCCATTGATGTTGTTATTAATGTCTTTAGAAATATCGATATCTTCATTATGATTAATATTATTATTAATCTCAAAAAAGGTGCTGTGATTGTTATCTTTATAAATAACATCAGTATTTTCATCAATGTTAATATTATTGCTATTATAGATGCTATTATTAACATTTGTGTCAATTTCTTCGTCGTCGTATATCTCCAGAATTTTTTGATCAAATAATTTAAAAATAGGAATTTGTTCAAAACAAATTACTATTATTCTTAAATTATTATCTATTATATAGTATGATTCATTAATTTCGACCAATGGATTGATCTCTGTCAATTCATCAGCGTTTAATTCTGATTTGGAACATTTACATTTAAAAAAACCAGGAACAATAATGTGTTCGTTATTTTTTTTTGAAATGTATTTTTACAGTTGCTGGTTGTTTTTCAACAACAATATGAAATTCATCATTTGCATATTTCCGAATCATGCTAACTGGAGAATTGGCGATGAGCAATTTTTTATCATTGTACGAGACAACAATTTCAGAATCCATTTTTTGTTGGTCAATTTAGACTATTAATATTTTTATTTAATACGTACGTACGTAAAGTATTCAAAATTGGGGTTTGTACCCACATATAAGTCACACAGATAATCTGAGGTCGTACACGTGCGTACGTACGGTGCACGAACTGGAATCAGTGAATATTTATGTAGCTAACAAGTCTTATATTTTTTAAATAAAAAGGTCAAATAGGCATTTTTAGTTTTTGGGTGCTAGTATTCTTAAGGTATGAACCAATTTTATATAGGGCTTACGGGCTGCGAAGCCTACGCAGATCAAATTTGCCCGTCTCTAGTATGGTGACCAGAATAGTGCGTGTATATTATGGGGCCTATTTGACGTATATAAAAAATAGTTCATATTTTGTAATACGATCTTTAACATATTTTGGTTTGATCTTAACGTTAATTCGAGTTAGCAAGTAGGTCAACAGATCAAAAAGACAGGTAAGCAGTGATGCATTAATGAACCAACAATCATATGGATAATCGCGATTCCAACAAGAAAATCCGGTATATGCAAGGAGAAAGATAAGTAAGATTTAATGCATTACCAATTCAAGGTTTGTGGCGCGATCACAAATATAACCAAATTTGTCAGGCATATGTGACAATAACAAGACACATAAAACGTACCAGTGGATCTAACAGTTCTCCAAAAGCGAATCAAATTCGTATCCTTCCCTCAGTAAAATCCTGCCATTTTTGCAAAACCTTCAGACTTACAGCTGGCCTGCGTTGCGTATGTGGGAAACCAGCGGCTAAGACTATGCATCGCTAATTTGACCGTAAAGCTTCTGGCTAACATCTGGCCGCTTTGTATGGGTGGGAAACCACCAGCTATATAATGTCAATTGCACTAATTTATACTATATACGTATCTCATTAAAGCAAGTTAATAAAAGTTTAATGTCCATCGCTATTATATCACATTCGTGCAGTTCTAATCTATGAATGAATTAATACGTAACGGTAATGTTGCTTCACAAAATCTCGCAATTGCTTGAAAGTTAGCAGATTTGATTTTTCACATGCAGCTTCGTCACCAGATTTGTGCATTCCTTCGTGCCTAAAGTTGGGAAAACATATGACAATCTCATGTGTGAATGTCCAGTTCTTTTCTAGTCTATTACCGGTTTTTTTTTTTTAAAAAAAAAAGGTAATGAATAATTTACGATACGTGGCAATAATTGCATCAGAATGTTTTAAATTATATTAGACCAAAAAGCCATAGAAAAACTTTCGTATGATTGGCTGATTAAGTCTATTTAATCTTACATTATTTATACAGTTTAAAGTACTTTTTAAAAAAATCAAACTACGAAGAATAAACAAAAAAAGAAGTATATAAAAAGTTTTATTAGGGTTGTAGGACTCCATCATTAAAAATAATCAAAATTATTTTTTATTTTAGAGAAGTTAAAATAATAGCGACTTCTTAAAAATAGATAGAATTAGGTTATTGCCATGCTAACTTCTCTAAAACAAATGGGATTTTGATTATTTTTAATAGTGGAATCCTACAACCCTATTAAAACTTTCTATATACGTACTTTCTTTTTTGTTTATTCTTCGTAGTTTGATTTTTTTTTAAAAAGTACTTTAAACTGTATAAATAATGTAAAATTAAA